ACTCAACCTGATACTCAAGATCCCGCGGTCGCCGCGCTCGTAGCCAGCTTCAACGCAGTCAGTATAGATGCTACACCTGATGCTCGAGACCCTAGGATCATCGCGCTCGAGGCCCGCTTCAAGGAAGCCAGCGACCTTGAAGTGTGGGAGCACTGCGTCGGAGGTAGATGCGTCAAGAACATCCCCGACATCGCCAAAGACCTCGCCAACCACATCATCGTCATCTGTATTGACTGTGAGCACTGGTCGAATAATACCGATGAGACCACCGAGGTCGGCATCGCTACCTTCGGTCGTCAAGATGTATTGCCCATCGTGGCCACTGGAGACTTCGGTGACCACGGGGAGAACCTGATGAAGGAAATCCGCTTCTACCTCCTACGCACCATCGAGACGTCCCATCTCCCGAACCAGAATCCAGCATCGCGGGGAGTCGAAGGCAACCGCTTCGGTCAAGGCCGGTTCGTCACCTTCGCCGAGGCGCGTCAGATCCTGACCGACCTCTTTGTCCAACCCATCAGTGACGTCCCCCGCCTCAAGGGTTACTTCCCCGACCTCAAGGGTAACTTCCCCATCGTCGTTCTCGGCCACGACGTCGGACACGATCTGAACAACCTCAAGTCCAAGGCTATTGGTTTCGACATGGAGCCAATCGGTACCGTGGTGCGCTACATCGACACCCAGCTGCTGGTTCGTGACAAGGGTTACTGGATGATGCCGAGGAACGAGCAGGTTGGCCTCAGGCGTATGGTCGAAGAGCTCTCCTTCGAGCATAGTGATTCCCACACGGCGGCAAACGACGCCGCTCGCACGTTGATCTCCGCATTCCAAATCGTTTTGGGCGGACACAAGTGCAAGAAGTTCGCACACAAGAGTATGCAGCAAGTGGCAGGAGATCTGGAGCGCCATAGTGTGGCGAACTTCGATGATAGCCTCGGTGGCGTTGAGAAGTACTGCTTCAAATGCGGCACCGTCGGCCACATGAAGTCAGATTGCACAGCCACAAACCTTCATTGTGATGAGTGCGAAGAGAACAAGTGCAATATCGAGCCAGGCAAGGAACACGTCACCGAGCATTGCATCTGTGTAGCCAACAAGAAGGCCCTCATTCGGCGCGAGAAGGACGCTATTGCTCGGGCCCTCAAGAAACCAAAGACCAAGAATCCGCCTCGTGGGGGGTACTACAACTGGGGTCGTCCCATGTCACGTCGTGGTTCCACTCGTCCATCTGGTCCTACCATGAACTATGACGGTCTCCGACAGTACTTCGACTCTGCTGGTGGACATGGCTCCGCCCCGCCAGGCCCGGGAGGACACCCTTCAGTCAGGGGTTTTGGCGGACATCTCGGCCAAGGCGGCTATGGCAACGTTTCGTTCGGTCGTGGTCGTGGTGGATACCCTCCACGTGGAGGGCACGGAGGATACAACCAAGGTTGAGATGGCAGAAGGACTGCACAGGTGTTTCGGCGTCAGATTGGCGGCGCTTTGAACGGGCCGGGAGGTGACTAGTTGCTTTTGGTAGTTCAGATGACGGCTAAAAACGCCTTGAAGATACCCTGGGTCTAGCATAGATGCAAACAATATAGGATGAAAGTACACTCTGCCGAATACGGTGGTGGTTGCGAGAAGTGTGATGCGCTGCTGACTAAGCCAAAGAAAGCAGCAGGCAGCTGCGTCATCGGCGGGCTGTAAGCAGCAACCCTGCCGTGTAGCCGTCAACAACTTCCACCATGATAACGATAATACCCCCGCCATGCCTTTCGATGGGGTGCGGTTGACTTCCTGATAGCTAACATCCTGTCGCACATTCGCCATGATCGAAAACACGCTCCCCAAGTACCTGCTCATCAGGGCGTGCATCCTGGGATTCCGCGCCATCACGCCCTTCAGCATCTTCTGGGTCTCCTTCAGCATCGCAGAGCCCCCGCACACGGCCTTCCGTCGCTTCCTCCTCACGTGGAGCATCATCGAGACTGCCTTCTGGCTGCTTGTCTACCTGCCCCGCAAGCGCGCGCTTCAAGCCTCTGCGCAACACCCGCCGCCCCTCGAGAAGGAGGAGAGGAAAGAGCTCTTCTGGCGATGCTGGGATAAGATCCCTCACCCTGAGTACTACGTCAGCAGGTGGTTTCTGGGCGCGAGGCCAGGCGAAATACGACGCGAGAATGTGCGCGAGTTCTTCGCGTGGGCACTGCTGAACCGCGGCACTGAGAGCGATGAGGAGCGGAGGAAGAGACGGCAGGCGCACCCGGAAGAAACCAATGCCGAGGACGACGAGCTCAACGAGTATGCGGATGGCATAGAGACGATGCTAGGAAGGAAGCTGGCGCCTGGCATGGGCAGCGCAAAGAGCCTGCGTCTGACTATCGACCAAGTCAACATGGCGCATCGGCCGTTTCTGTGGTATATGGTATGTCTGCTGGTCTTGAGATTATATGTGATACTGACGGCGACAGATCGTCATGCTGGTCGATACCCTCACCGCCGCTCGTCTGCGCTACTACGGCTTCATGCTCTTCCGCACCCACCTTCGCTCCTCGCTGGCCATCTTCCCACCGCGACTCGCCAATCTCACTACGCGCAACATCTCATCCGCGCCTGATCTGAGTTACTGGTACCGACCACACACCTCGAAGACGCGACTGCCCGTTCTCTTCGTACACGGCATCGGCATCGGCCTGCACCCATACGTCGAGTCCTTGAACGAGATAAACAAACACGATCCGCTTGCGGCACAAGATGGTCAGGTCGGCATTGTCGCTGTGGAAATTATGCCTGTCAGCTTCCGCATTACCGGTGCGATTCCAGACAAAGACGACATTTGCCGCCAGATCAACATGATCCTAGAACGCCATGCTTTCGACAAAGTTGTCCTGGCCAGTCACTCTTACGGCTCCGTAATCTCCACCCACCTTCTTCGGGACCCCATCACCGCTGCCAAGATCGGCCCGATGGTCTTCATCGACCCTGTTACATTCCTGTTACATCTTCCCGACGTGGCGTACAACTTTACCGCGCGTCGACCGAAAGGCGCAAACGAGCACCAACTCTATTACTTCGCTTCTACCGACATGATGGTTGCACAAACCCTGGCGCGCCAGTTCTTCTGGGCACAAAACATACTGTGGAAGGAGGACCTCAAAGACCGGGACGTAACTGTCAGCCTCGGAGGCAGGGATCTGATAGTTGACACCGAGACCATCGGGAAGTACCTTAACGGTGCTGACCTCAAGGGCGAGGACAGAACCTGGAAAGACTCCGAGTGGAGAGGCCACGGCACAGAGACGATTTGGTGGCCTACTGTAGACCACGCGCAGGTGTTCGAGAGGCAAGACGGTCGGACGAGATTGGTGCATGTCCTCAGAGAGTACGTGAAGCGTAAAGCGGAGGAGGAAGAGGTAGAAGAGTTTCCCGGGCAATAATGCATATCCTCGTACCTGCATTCAGGGTCTTGCCACTTTGTCGCATCATCCCTGTAGATCAACGTCAGCTTCATCGGAAGTTTAACGTACGTTTGGTTGATGCAGACTACGGGAAGCCGTAGTTCATTTTGCGGGGGTCCGTCCGGACGGGCCTGAAGCAACTGGCGAGCCGGCCCCGCCGATCCCGAAACGGCTGTATATACAACGCTTGTATGCGCGACAACGACGTGCAAACAGCTGGCAGCTTGCCTAAACTATACTCTTGCACATCCCTTCGATCGAAAGATTTGCATCATGCCTAACGGAAATTGGATCCTCGGAGACCTCTTCACCAAGGAATATGGACATCGCGGCAGTATCCAGAAACTCTGGGAACAACGATGGAAATTTCCCTGCACCAAAGGCGTTTACCCATTCCACGATGGCAAATTTGGAGACTTCGAGCCCATCTTCAAGCATCTCATCGACAACAACATCAACGACCCTTACGAGGATGCATACACAAATGCATTCTTGCCAACAGCGCAACGCCTAGCGAAAGAAGCCAAAGAGATGGAAGGCAAGGACAAAGAGGCAGCGAAGAAGCTATATCTAAACGCAAACGCTGTATACAGACTCGCTCGATTCCCCTACATCGGCACGGAGCTCAAGAAGAAGGTCTTCGAAGAGCAAAAAGAAGTCTATTTCCGCGGCGCCCAACTATGGGACATTCCCCTCGAAGAAGTCGTGATACCCCACAAACAAGCCTCCAACGGCGACGGCACCTCCATCCCCCTTTACATCCGCAAACCCACTGGCCCAGGCCCCTTCCCTACTGTCCTCCTCATCACCGGCCTAGACGGCCACCGCCCCGACAACACAGAGCGCACCCAAGAGCACCTAAACCGCGGCTGGGCAACCGTGATCTGCGATATACCCGGCACCACCGCCGACTGTCCCGCCAACAAGCGCGACCCGCTCTCGCCGGACCGCCTCTTCACCAGCATCCTAGACTGGATCAAAGAAACACATTACCTTAATGAGAAGAAGGTTATCGCGTGGGGTCTCTCAGCCGGCGGCTACTACGCCATCCGCCTCGCGCACACGCACTCTTCCCAACTCCTCGGCAGCGTAGGCCATGGCGCAGGCACCCACCACTACATCGGCTCAGAATGGCTCTCGCAGATCTCCAAACACGAATACCCGTTCGGTCTCGAGGAAGCGTATATCCAGAAATACGGCTATTCGTCCTTTGACGAGATGAAAGAGAAATGCCAAGACGAGTTTTCGCTCGTGAGTGGGAAGGGAGAGGGCGTGGCTGTTGTGGGGCAGGGGATGAGCAGTTGTAGGTTGTTGCTTGTGAATGGCGTGTTGGATGGTTGTATGCCCGTGGAGGATAGTATGTTGCTGGCGGAGTATGGGAGTCCGAAGGAGATGCGGTTTATGCAGGGGAGGCTGCATATGGGGTATCCCGAGGCGAATGGCACGGTGTATCCGTGGATGGAGGAGGTTATGGGGGCTGTTTAGAGGAGGTAATGACTTCGAAGGTGATATTGCCCTTGCTATAGTACTAGTCGGCCTTGAAATGAACCTAGATACATTTCAGGGATATATGCTGTCCATGGTCTCCATGGATGCCGATACAATGCCTTTGAAGAGACTCCCAATATCGTCCGATTGTTTCAAGCGCACGGTCTTGAGCTTCATGAGAGGCGTTGGCTGGTGGAAAAGATTGGCGAGCAGGGCGTCTGCCCGCCCCCAGAGCTCCAACTGGAGATCTTCCAACGCTGGCGCGATGTGGAAGACTTGTGTACAGCGGGAATTTGATGAAGGGCCACCGCCTGAACTATGAACCTCTGCTTTTCGAAGCAAGCTGAGACCCACATTGTCTCCTTGTCTTGTTCGGTCGAGATTGTAGGTCACCAGGGTCCTGTATTGAGATAGAATTCCAGTAATGGAGATCCGTACTGAAGTAATAGCCAGTTGCGCGTAGGAAATCATTGCTCCAGCGACTGTAGTGGCCAATCGTGTATTGCGCTGTGCTGAACTATCGTAATAGTCGTAAATGGCGAAACTATCCAGAGATAGATGACCTTCCTTCAGTATGGTCATGAACTTAGCAACGACTATCCTGTCTACTCCCAGCACGCCTGCTTCTTTGCGCGGCCAGATGCGATACGCGTCTCTCGTATTCTCTCGCTCTTGATCTCGGTTTTTGATACCCAGGTCAGTACCGTAATCGCCATAGGGTACAAGTCTGGTAACCTTCTCTTCTTCGTCCTGAACTCGGATGGCTTTGACGTATCTCGCTAGTCGCCCACCCGGAGTGATAACGTCGAGTTTCTCGATGTCGGATCTCATGAGGTTGGTCTGGAACGTGGAGAAGAAGCGCTCGCCGACTATGCGTAGAGTTTTTGCGTCTGCATGTTTACAAGACAAGCGGAAATACAGAAGGTCTGTATCGCTCAAGTACTCCGCGCAGGCTTCGATGAGCTCCGTGGGCATGTCGTGAAAGGTGAGAGAAGACATATCAGCGTCATGCCAGCGTCGTAAACATGGGAGCAGATGTACGAGGTATTACGGGTTTGCAGAGCAGCTGAAAGCTCGTCGGTACCCAGCAATGAGGAATCAAAGAACAAACAGAGCTAGGGTGGGATCACAACTTGAAAGATTTACAAAAGTGGTCGGAATGGAAGGTGCCACATCCAGAAGGTACATGTCAGATTTATGGAAAAGCGTGAAAGCGTGTAGGCAACGACGAGGAGATGCTCGTTTGCTTCTCACGTCACTGCTTCGACGCTGTGCGACATCGCTTAACCTTGGAAGGCAGGCACGCTGCAGCTTCCCGCCCAACAAGACATGTTTCGCAGCGAGAAGACGACCTGGCGAATTAGGTCGCACAACCACTTTCGATCGACCTGACATCTCCACGAAGAATGCATGCGCATCGAAGATGAACACTGCACTCTTTGATGAGCTGTTCACGCCTTCGTCAACCCGTACTGATCGATCAATACGCAAGAGATACCCTGCAATCACCGGGGCAGTTACATCCCAGATTTGAACACCCAACAAACATCAAATCGTCACATGTATGCAACCTAAACACGCGTATTAAGAATATTTTAATCTGATTTTCTTATGTTTTCTACCTCCGCCACGCACAATCCCCGGTCTTATGCCCATAAGCATTCTCATTACAATACCGTCTCGGATCCGTACTCTCAATACAATATTCACACGGCACTGCATTAGGACTACTCGAGCGCTTCGATCCACCCTGTCCATAGCCCATGCTACCCTGTTTCTTGATCAGCGCAGCCTGCTTAACTACATGAATGCATTTCTGCGAGTTGTGACTGTGCGCCATGTGTCGTGTCAAAGGGTCTTTGTCGCAATGTTCACAGTGCCAGACACTCACACGACAATACGGTGCGGTGTGGTGATGGGAATCACATTTCTCACAGAAACGCGTGACGCCGTAGCCGCGACCTTCTTTGATGGCGGTTTGGCCCGCGTCGCGGAGTTGCGCTTTGAGGTCCACGTAGTGGAGTTTGTTGAGCGGGGTTTGGGTTGGAGGACAAAGCATTAGGAAGGCGGCGATCATGGTGCATACGATGTCGTTGCCGGCGTTGTGAAGGTATGGTTCTTTGATGTCGTATTCGGCGAGGAGATGTGCAAGGCGGATTTTGCGGGATGGGTTTACGAGGCCGTGCTCTACGGCCAGCACTTGTGTGTCGATTGTTGCGACGATGGTGCCGATTTCTTCAAGGTCGAGACCAAAGCGCGATTTTATGACTTCGTAGTCGTTTGACACGGCGTGGCCGACGAAGATTATTGGACGTAGGTTACCGTATATGTCTCGGCGAGTGAAAATGCTGCGCAGCATTTCTTTCGCTTCTTTCACACTGACAAAGGTCGTGCTGCCGAATTGAAAGGCATCTGGATGCCCTTCGCAGAGGTCTTTGTTGGTGAGATGTGCGTGTGGTTTGATGCGCACGTGGTAGTTCTCCATGCTGGGGAGAATACTCCATGGTGATGAGGAAAATGGTTGTGGCACGGAACGCGGATCGAGAACAGATATTCCGAGTTCCGTGATGAAATGGTCATCGTGCTCGTACCACTCGGCATCAGAGGCCACGATAATAGCGTCTTGGAGTGCTGCGGCTGCAGCGGCACTGCCAAGCGGGATTCCGCTCCCAGATCTCTTCATCCAGTGCTGGAGGATAGCTGACTGCGTGAGACCTTGATGTAATTCGGCTGCGATGAGAGATTTCAACTCTCTTGGTGAGACTGGATAAGACATGTCTGACAAAAGTGTATTGTGCGTGAAATCTGACCACCAAGTAGGTATTGAGGTTGGTGTGTAGGAGTATTCGGTGGTCGAAACGGAGGGAAGAGCAGGAAAGTCTTTCAAATAGGCTGAAACCGTCGTTGTGTAGTCATAGGCGAAATCTGAGTAGTGAATGGCGTTGTAGAGCTGATCCGCTTCAAACTCGGTTGAGGATTGAATCATGGTAAGAGTCATGATGTCTGAGTTTCGGTAGTTGCTGCAATAGTTTAATTGTAGAGTATGATTGGAAACAGCAGGTTGATTTTAGAGATGAGATGAGAGTGGAAAACCAAGCGCAATATATATACTGGAACTGAAAACGTGATCTTGGTGCCTGAAGGCGGCAGACTTTCAGTACCATGGTTGCACACTTTGACCACGGTTCTCGCAACGTATACCACCAATAAGGCATCTATACTTGTAAGCAGTACCGCGACGTTGCGACAATATTTCCAAACATTTCCTACACATTTGTTTGGCTGGTAGTGAGTGGGCGCCGAGCGAGGTGAGTAGCGTGGCACAGCCAACAGGCACACTCCTGACTAACCGTTGCAATGAGAATGACTGGAGGACGGAGCGATGCGATGAATTACTGCAACCTAGGTCCGATTAAATACAAAAATTAGAACACGTCGTACCCATAGCGCTAGGCCGCTGTCTGCGACCTCGTGATCTTGACGACGCGCTCCATTCCGAGATCGCGCCATACTGCAGACCCGATTGAAGTAGGCGAAATAGGTTCCTCGACGCCATCCAGTGGTTGTTTGTAGCGCTCGGAGTATTCGTCGTCTCCCACCTCGTAGTCGTCGGTGTCATCGCTAAACTCCAACCCTTCTTGATCCACATCTAGGAAAAACTAGCCGTCGGATTGAGAAAAGCAAGCCTCCCTGAAGAAGTACCTGAGGGTATTTAGATCTTTCATCTTGAGCATATCGCATAAGCTCCGGGAAGCGTTATAGAGATTGCTCCTCATCTCTTCCTCCGTGCTTGGTATCTCAAGGGCCATTGTTCGCAGGTTAGGATAGTGTCCTTTGATCAAGTTTGACATGAACGATCCGCCCTTTTCGTCGTCAGTTTGCCAGAGTGCTATCGAAAACACATCATCAATATTTATCAAGCTTTTGGTGATGATCAAACTATGGAGGCTCTTTTTCAAGACCTCTGGTAGGATCTGCAGGAAGAACAAGGTGTCCTCGGTAGTGTTCTCCAGAACTACTTGACTGCGAGACCAAAGGTACTGAAAAGCCTTGGAGGGTTTGATGATCCGATGGTAGTGTATGTTGGAACGCGCAACTTCGTTGTAGTAATTGATCCATCCCCGTTTGTTGGCTTTGAGTACTCTCCCCGCCTCTCTATTAACTTCTTTGGAAACGAGAAGTAGTGGTGTTGACATGAAGATCTTGTACGTAAGCATGACTTCTTGGCTGTCAGAGAAAAGGCTTGGGGGCCCATTAGGGTCATGCCAAAACTCATCGTAAAGCTCGTCTGGAACTGGTAGGTCCTCATCAGCCACTTCCGGTTGGTACATCATATCGAGAATCATCTGCGGGTCTTCTATGGGAGAGTTAGTCCTGACGTGGTGGTTACACCCGAGTCTGCGTACCTTTGCTAGAATCCGTCTCTGGCAGGTCGTAACCCTGGTTTTGTTCCCGTTGATCTTCGCGGTTCGTATGCCGAAAGATCGCTCTTGGCTCAAGCGAATAATCATAGATCATATCGTGAAGTTCTTGCGGTAGGTCATGCAGACGAAAACTGCATGTTGTTAGCTTTAGGAACGCGATGCGTAGGGCGGAGAGTCCTAACACGTCTAGATGTGCGGCAGCATCACCATGGCCAGACCGCGATTCTTCCGCTGTCTCTTTACGCATTGCTGTTGCTGTATGTGAAATCGGGCTTCAATGTTGCGCTCGCGAGAACAACGGAAGAGGAGTGCTCGCGGAAGGAGGGGACAGCACTAGCGCGACGCGCTGAGACGCGTCTCGCGAATGCTCGGACCTCTTCTTGTTTCCTCGCTCGGGCCTGGCGAGTCTCTTCACACGTAACATCGACGAACACGCCGCCCCAAAAATTGCGCAAACCTGCGAAATTCGATTTTCTGCAATTTTCCGATCCTTTACTACTACTACAAAATCTCACTATACGACTGAGTACGCTAGGATTTAGACCAATGCCAGGGTTGTGTGCCGACGACCAGCAAGACGACAGGGAGTTTTGATAAGACACGTCGCAGCTGCCGTACTAAGCTGGCTTCCGCTCTTTTGTGATCTTCACAACGCGAAAGGCATGTAGTTCTCGCCATACCGCGGATCGAGCCGACGGACGAAAGATGGTCTCTTCCGTCCCCTTTAAATAGAAGTCCCCCTCACCGTAGTCACCGGGTTTGTTCCCCTCCATCGCCACATCCCACAAGAAGAGTCTATCCGTATATACTGACTTAAGGTCACCTCTGTAATAGAACCATACAGTATCTAAGCGGCTCTCCCAAAGCATATCGAGAACATATTCCGAGGGAGGAGTCCTGCCGAGACGCCACGAGTCGTGGTATGTCGGTATGATCTCGATCGCCATCTCACGTACGTTCGGGAAGTAATTCCCTATACTATTGGTAAACAAGGCATGCTCTTCAGGATTATTCGGCTCCCATATTGCGCGAGAACCCGAGCCGGGATCGGTAAGTGTAACAGATAAGGTGAGGTAGAGCCGACGAAGCGACTTGTTGAGCGAATCTGGAAGAAGTCTCAAGAACAGGAGAGATGAGCCGGGTTGATGACCGAGGACTAGTTCACTGCGGGACCAGAGATCGAGGAAGGCGGGGCTAGGGGAATTGATGTGGTGTAGATGATGAATAGACTCTCGGATGGTCCGGGCCCAGGTTTTCTCCACGATTTTAATGACCTTTTTCACTTCCAAGTTCGTGAGTTTGGATACAGCGAGCAAAGGCGTCGCGATCAAGATTTTGAAGGATAGCATTCCGATTTGGCGATGAGTTACTCCTTCGAACTTTACGTTCGGATCGCTCCTAGCATCGTCCTCAATCTCTTCGTCTGTCTCATCTGTGGAAAGGTCAATACTGGTACGGTTACATTGACAGTAAACATACTGGGTGGCAGATACAGTTCAGGTCGCTCGTAGCCGTTAATTTTAGGCCCGAATGGGTCAAGGCGGAAGATTGCTTTGGGCTCGAAGGAGTACTCGTATATCTTATCACGAAGTTCTTGTGGAAGGTCGTACAAAGGAAAGCTGGCAGCGTCAGCGTAGATGGTACGGCAATCAAGGCTGAGAGGTCTTACGTCTCTGAAGGTATAGCAGCTTCGTCACGTGTGGTTTGCGATAGATCTGTCGCCATCTTGAATTCCGCAATTAGCTTCTAGAGCAATGTTGTTGGATGTGGTACGTACATAAGGACTTGACAAGACTTGGTATTGCGACGCTCAAGCATGCGAGAAAGTTCCATTCTTCCATGAACATGCTCGATCGCGAGACCCTGGCTTTAGCGTGAGACATTAGCGCGGTTTCCCTGAGCACTCGGGCCGATAGTCGTAAGCACAGCTTGATCACCACCGCAGAGAGAACACTCGATCCATGTGGACTGTAATATTTTCTTTGCATCACCGCAATTGCATGAGACTCTTGATTTGAAGTGAATGTTTGGCATTAAAGTAAGTAAACTAGCCATGACCAGAGACCGACGCATCCAGCGAGCGGCACATAACACATAACTAGCCTCCTAAGCGCGGTAACCAATAGGTTGGGGGGGTATATCGTTGAACGGTGATTCGATAAGCGAATCACAACATCATGCATCAACACATCGCGATGTAAACCGCTTACATCTTCTCCTGAGCGACAAGGCTAGCGCGCCTCTCCTCGTTGACGCTCTGGCGTCTCTCGATGTCAGCAGCCTGAGCCTCCGTGCCGAGGTGACCGGTGGGCAGCAGGTTGAGCTGGTCTTCGTTCTTGTCCATGTTACGGTAGGCGAAGTGGAAGGCGATACCGGTGACGAAGGAGATGATGGCTACACTTCCGTAGTTCCAGACGATGTGGGGATCCGCGGTAAGAGGAGTGAAAGCCTGGGCGAGGGCGGCAGAGAAGGCGGTGGTGAAGAGCTGGACGGACTGAACGAGCGATCTCATGTTCTTGGGAGCCTTGGTGAAGGCGTACTCGAGAGTGGTGACGGAGGCGAAGATCTCGGAGATGGCAATGAGGACGTAGACACCGGTAACAGCCCAGACAGTGATGTCGGTCTTGTACTCGGGGTCCTTGGTCTCGTAGTAGCCGGAGGTCTTGTAGATGTAGTGTTGAAGAACCGCTGCCCAGACCATGGCGAAGGCTCCGAGGATGAAACCAGCGGTGATCTTCTTGATCGGAGTGAAGCGGATACCTCGCTTGCGGAGGAAGGGGTAAACGAGAGAGTCCATGATAGGCACCTATAGTACGATTAGCATTCGTTCTGGGCGTTAGACCATTGGACAGTACTTACGATGATGATGATAGCGATGGGGTCCAAGTTGGAGAGAATGTCGTTGGGGACGCCGCCGAGCTTCATGGTGGCGCACATCTGGGTCAGGTTGGAGTCCATCTGGCGGTATGCAAGCCAGAAGATAGGCACCCAGAAGAAGACGGAGCAGGCAGCAAAACCACGAGCAACCTCATCAACCCAGGCGTCATCAAAGTTGTACCACTTGGGTGCGGCGGAGCCAAGGACGGAAGGCTTGACAGCAGTCCACATGTTGCCGTCGTTCCAGTTTTTCCAAGTCTTAACGGGGTTGATGCTCATTCCGCGTCCAAGAGCCTTGAAGAGAAGCTTGAAAGCAGGGCCCATAACGTTACCGCTCGGGGGACGGAGGATGTAGAACTTCTTGCAGAAGATCAAGACGGGGAGAGCGATGATGAACATAACGGTGGGGATCAGGTACGCGAGCCAGAAACCGACGTATCGCTCAGCGTAAACCATGCTGATTTGACCGACTAGAGCACCGATGTTGATGAAGAAGTAGAACCAGTTGTAGATACGGGTGACAGTGACAGCAGGGTCGACAATGACGCGCTCAGTACCGCGTGTCTCAACGCGCATCTTCTCCTGAGGAACTTGTTCGGCAATAAGAGGGGCAATGTTGGGCTTGAAAGTTCCAGTTCCAAGACCCATGATGATGAGACCGAGGATAAAAACGCCGAGGGCAGTGTTGGAGTTCTCCAAGACAGATGGCGCAGCTGAGGCGACGAGGATCAAGTGACCAATCTCAGCGACCAAGACGGAGTATAGAATAGTCTTGAAACGACCAAGGTAGGTGTCGGCGATCCAGGCTCCGAGGAGCGGGCAGACGTAGACCCAGAAGGCGTTGAATGTAGTCAAACTGAAAGCGACCTGCTTGCCCATGTTGAGGGCACCGGGTTGAGCCTCAGCATCATCTGGGTTGAGCGCGGCTCCAGTGGGCGTAGTGAGCGGCTTAGCGATGTAGTTGGAGTATACAGCAACGGTTCCGTAGTAACTCATACGCTCGACAAGCTCAACGAAAGCGATCTGAAGTCAAGTCAGTGTTTGTCTCACGTGCTCTGCGAGTGCGATTGCGTACTGTGAAGATCTTCCATGGGATCCTAGCGGGCACACGGCGAAGCGTGGCGAGCTCCTCATCGGTGGGAAAGTCATCGGCCTCGTTGAGGTAGCTGTCCTGGAGCGTGGCCTTGCCCTCAGAGTGGAGGTAGGCGGGCGCAGAGGTTGTGTGCATCTCGGGGTACTTGCGCGTGGGGTCGCCAGAAGCGTCAATAAGAGCGGGGTCCAAGCCGACAGCTTGCTGCAAGGGTTGTAAGCAAGTATGCAATGGAGCTTGGGAAGAGTATACTCACGACTTCACCGGCGTCACCAACAGGCATGATGGGCGTGCACCTAGGTCGTTTGACAATGAAGGTGGACCGTGGTTGAGTGACTGGGAAAGCAGCCAGGTGATTGTTTATGGGGTGCGGCGAGGAGAAGAGAGACCCTGACGAGCAAAGAGAATGGGGTGGTGGTGCATTTAATTTGAGCACGCGAATCACGGGTCCGACGTCGTGCTCTACAGCTTCAGGCCCGATAAGGAAGGCGCGCACACCGACACAGGGATGGGCACCGTATCGACTCCTTCACCACCGTCTGTCCATCAGCAAACGCATTGCCACCGCGGCTGTTGTGCCCGGAAAGGCATTCGGCGCGTGCGCGATAGGTGCTGCACGATGCTCTTTTCGCACCGCATCGCCGAGGCGTCCTGGGCTACTCAAGCCTCGCCAAGTTGCTAACCACCACTGGCAAGCAGCGAGACAAGAAGAGCTTGCTGGTTCCAAGATAACAATTACCTGTGGCGCCCCAGTCGCATGCCATCGACTAACCTCCTGCCTAAAGCAGGTGGTCGCGGGGTAGCGATAGTCGTCCCCAAGAAATGCCCAGAGCCACTAGCTCGCGCCTCCAACGACTCTGGTCTTGGAGGCCCAGCCCATGGCCCATGCATTCTTTCATCGCGGTATCAGCGACCTTGCTCTTTTTGACCGCAAACACGGTTATCTGCGGGTGATAGCGTTGGTGTAGCGTCGATACAAACGTTCTGGAAGACGACCGCAGCGATTGATTCGGACAAGACATCGAGGAGGCTGGCGGGATGCAGGCCAGACGTTCCCACCAACAACCACGCTGTGGGGCCGCCTGCAGATAGACAAGATAATGGCTCGAAGCTTGGGATACGGACAACGGCTTAGCCAATCGCGCCATACAGCCAAGACTTCCTCCGAACGCTACCATTCGCTCCTCCGAAGGCCATGCTGCCAGGGCTATCGTCGAGGCGGGTCTCCCGAATGTTCTCTGCGTTGCCCAAGACCTGGGCAACGGACCCCGATCGTATTTGCGGCCACGGTAATTGCACGCTCAGGGGACGGACATGCGACATGCGACACCACGACACCGGGTACCGGCATCAAGAATTTCGAGCGACGAGACAAGCCTCGGCCAGCGGATATGAAGACGCTGTGGCAGCGGTTGAGGCTTCCTGCCCAGACGCGGTATGCAAGGGCTTATTCACGCCACCCTTTGAGATACGGGCTCAGTGGTGTGCGGTAATCATACGGCGCGATGGAGTGGTGTCGCGCCTATCCTCGACGGACCTGGTCAGATGCGCGGTCCTTTTTCGCAAATAGAGCGTATCGACGGTGATGAGGTTGATAGGGTAAAAGACGGGGATTGGGGGAACTCAAGATCGACACGTCGCCTAAATTAAGCTTGATGAAGACCTCGGCCGGCAAGCGCGATGCCGCACGTGAGCAGGTACTCTACCGTTACGGTTCCGGCTTTATTGAAACGCCTCGCCACGCCAGAACCACGGATAAGCGTCTGCGGTGTTGGCAGTTGGTCCCAAGCTTTTTGCCGTCGCTTCTATGACGCGACGCTGAGCTTATTGATTTTGAAGAGCTTGGAGATTTCGTCAACACGCACTCGCATGTTATTGCCAGGGCTCTCTACATCTATCAAGAGGCAGGCTTAGCCGAGACATAGTCAGCACCGTATACCGACTTCAGGGCTGCCTTGGTGCAAAACGGCTAAAGCCTACTAGGAGTACACGAGGAATAGTGCATGGTCCGTTTATCGACTACGTTGGTACTCCCCATGTGCTCGGTACCACGCGCATGTCAGAGCGCTGAGTCTAGCCAAGGCCACGGTGAGGTAACAGAAAGGTTCGCACCTTCCCAACGCTGAGGTAGTAGCTACGGCTGAATCCCGCCCCGTCTGACCCCGCCGCCTGTCGCTTCCCCATCCGTTCTCAACCTCGACAATCTCCACCATCAGCGCCGGATATTCGTATACGTGTGTTGCAGCACATGGCACGCCTAATGACAATTCTTAATTCCCACGTAACGCCAAGTAGATGATCAGTCATCGGGATTCCTGGACTCCAATCTTTACTGGCAGCAAGAGCGGCCTGAGCTACCTGTGATGTCTTACAGCAGAGATCATTGGCTCACTTGAATGCATACGCTAACCGCTTCGACTGTCATCACGCCAGGAACCAGTACAGGAAAGTACTCTTGGGCGTACGACTATCACGCGCAGACTGTACTGGGTGGTGCAAGTATGCGTGAGATCCTTAGCACCCACATAACTAACATCCTTTGGTACAATTTGCTGACATACGAGTCACACGAGTACCTGCACTGCGCAGTGTCGAAGAAGATATACTGCACACGTTGCATGAAATTTACCGATCGGATCCTCCTGCATCTACAACACGCAGTACAATCCGCTTCCTATCTTCCGCGACCACTTTCCACATCAACAATAAACGACCCACTTGCGAATCTCCATCCCCTCAAAACACCCTCCCATTCTCCTGCAGCGCCCTCACCCTCTCGGGCGTAACAACACTCAAACTAACCGCCCCACCGATAACAATGCCCAACAACAAAACCACAAACAACCACAACACCTCCACCCTCCCATCCCCATCCCTCCTGCCCCTATCCCCAGGCGCATACGGCCCCACCATCTTCTTCAACGGCTGCACCCCATTCCTCTGCGCAAACTCATACCCCCTCTTCATGCCAGGTAACCCATCGATACTAAGCTGGCTCTTCCACGCCCAGTAGTGATCCATCGATTCTTTCTCGTCGCCAGCTTGGTACTTTGCGTCCTTCTTGCGGAAGTGTTCGTTCAGAATGTCGCGGTGGCCAACAAAGTCGTAGTAGGGGACGCTGAAGCCGCAGGATGTGCCGCATTGGTGCACATCTACCATGATGATGCTGCGGGAACCGGGGATGGTTTCGACCTTGTGCTCTCGTATGAAGGCCTCGTATTCCGGGGTTCCGTTCTCGATGGCGCGGCCTTCGCCCCATATACGCACGATTTTTGGGGGGCCGGTGAAGGCCATGAACATGACGCAGATACGACCATTCCCTGGCTCGTGCAGGTGCGCATGTGTTTCTACGCCACTTCCTGTGAGATCCATGTACCAAAACGTTCGTTCATTCAGGACGCCGAAGTTCTGACCTCCTTTTGGGGAGATGTTGATGTGGCCGTCGCCTGAGAGAGGCGCCGTGCCTACCCAGAGCATTTGCTGCTCTTTGATCCATGGGATGAGGCTGTTTGGTATGGTTTCGTAGAAGACGCCCATGTTGGTGGTGGGATGGGATGGGTGTGTGGTATTTGATGAGTGGTAGAATGGATGGCGGGATTATCTGGTATTGGAATTGGGAGGTATTAGGGTAGCAAATGGGTGTTGTTGATGACGATGGCGATGCTGTGTAAAGGTTGGTAGGGAATGAATGTCCAGCAATCAGGAAAGCAGCAACCTTTAGTTTGAACAACAACCGAGACCAGACCTTAAATCTCACCCTCCCTATAATTTACAACTTCGCTAGTTTAATAGTCTAACCGTACGACAGTAATTAATCCGCGGCTGGTATTGGCGTTGCGTAAGCCCGCCTGTGTTGTCGACCGTCTAAACTATACTTTACACAGACAAGGTTTCTCGTGTTTGTTATCACTTGTTGATTGCAGAGCACGTCTTTATGCAGATAGTGATATATTATTCTCGCTTATCTAGAACAATAAACTTGCTTTTCTTAGTAGCTAGTAGCAGCGCTGTAGAACTTAGTATACACTACCTAGTATAGTTTATTAACTAGATCTCTAAAGTACTTATTCTATATAGTAGACTTTATTCTAAGTTAAGTGCTAATTACGTATATATCTCTAGAACAATACTCTAGAAATATAAACCTAATTTAGATTACACCTATAAGAATAAATACTATTCTTCTAATTATATTCTTATAGATATCTTATAAGAGTACTCTAATAAGCGTAGACTTTCTTATATTTTAGATATAAGAAGTTCTACTTTATTATAGTAGTTATAAAAGTGTCTACTAGTATAGCTACTAGTACTATATAGCTACGTTAATAGCTATTTAGATTCTTTTAACTTAATATAAAGTAAATATAAAAGTGTTTATTATAATATAAGTAGTAATACTAAAATATAGTTACTAAATTCTTACTATTACTATTAAGAGTCTTTAATTATACTACCTACGCTATTTTATTCTTTATAGCTATAGTTTAGTTACTAGTAATATTTATAGATATAAGCTTATAGAGAAAGAATATAAAAGTTATCTTAGTAAGTTATATTATAGTTAGCTAGCTAAGTTATAAGAGCACTATTAATACTTTATTAGATATTATACTTAGTAGTACAAAATCTTTAAATAATAATTCTAATATAGTATTATTATACTTTTTCTTATTAACGTCTCTATTACTATTATTATTACTATTATTAGCTAAGAGGCTAAATATAACTAATATTAACTCTACTTAGAGGCCTACTATTAGGTTATTTTTATTACTCTTTTTCTTATTAATAACTAGAGTCTACTAGCTTCTACTATATTTAGAGTATACTATCTTCTTATTAATCTTAGTAATTAGTAGTTTGTTATACGTACTTATTAGCGTAATATCTTCTACTTATCTTACTATACTTACGCTCTTTAGTCTTACTATCTTTATTACTTTCTACTCTTTAGAGCTAAGCCTAAAGGTAGACTTATAGTTAAGATTAACTAGTAACTTAAGGTTCTTATCTTTTATACTTTATTTTATCTTAACTAGAATAGATATATTTAAGTTTAGAAAAAGAGCTTCTACGCTATTAATAGTATGCTTAAGATATAGTTAGATATAAAAAAGATTATTTTACTACTTACCTATATATCTCTACGTAACTTCTATATATATAGTATAGTATAAATACTTTAGTAGCTTTTTTATAGCTTTATTAGTTTTATTAAAGTCTTAATATCTTAACTTTATAAAGTCTTACGCAGCGCTATAGTAGATATTATAAAATCTA